GTTTTTTTTTTTTTTTTTTTTTTTTTTTTTTTTGGTCCTGGGGATTGAACTCGGGTCTTTGCACTTGCAAGGCAGGCCACCAATCCGCTGAGCTAAATCCCCAGCCTGACTTTTGCTTTTTTTAATCCATCTGAAAATTCCTGCCTTTTAGGTGTTTGGACCATTTATATGTAATGTTATTACTGATACACAGATGGAGTATTTCTTATCCAAAATGTTTGGGACTGGGAGTATTTTTAATGTTGAATATTTTCAGGTTTTGGAGTAATTGCGTATACATGAGATACCTTGGGTATGAGACCTAAGTGTAAACATGAATTTCATTGATGTTTCAGATATACCTTATGTTCACAACCTAAAAGTAATTTTTAAAAAGTTTTTTTTCTTCATCGGTACATTTTAGGTATACAACTGAAAGTAATTTTACACGTTATCTTAGCCAAAGGCTGAGAAGCGATTGTGAAAGTAATTTTATACGTTTTTAGTATGCTTACATTTCAAGTGAAAGCTGTCATATGAAGTCACATTTGGAAATTTTCACTTCTGCCATCATGTCAATGCTCAGAAAGTTTCAGGTTTTGGAGCATTTCAGATTTCAGAGTTTTTCATTAGAAATACTCAACTTGTAATTAATTTCAAATTTGTAATTTTACTATTTTGAGTACTAATACTAGGTATCACATATTTTGTCATTTATGGTCCTGACATTTTTTGAATTTCTGTAAATATTTTTGCATTGGTTCTGGGGACATAATTAATTGGAAACCATTTGATCTTTTTGGCTCTTGCTTTTAACATTCGGTAGCTGGACCTATAGCAACATTTAATCTAGGGCTTATTATTTCCTGCTATTGAAGCAACGGCCTTGATATTTTACTTAGTACTTTCTGAATTATGAGGTTTCCTGGTCTGGCTGCTGGAACTAGGCATAATTTTCAGGAGTGCTGAGTACTGTTCCTCTAATCCTTTGGAATAGCTCTTTCCCTAACTAATTATTTTCTTCCTGAATGCTCAAGGGGAATCCTTTGGGATTCTCTCAGTCTGATACTCTGTTTCATGAACTGTAGCTGCCTTGGAATTCTTGAACTCCTAGCTATTTCTCTTTTACTCAGGAATCCTTCTAGTTCTGCCTGAGTTCAGAAGCTCCATGTTCTGTAGACTTAAATTCTTCTTAAGTCAGTAAGCTGGGCGAGTGTGATGTTGGTTGGAAATTTCTCTTTTCTTTTGGAAGGCTTCTGTAGTATAGGGCAGATACTCTTTGTTTTAAGTTAGTGTATGTGTCTGATTAATTCTGGACAGACTTTGCAAAAAGACACACGATCACTGCTTTTATTCTTTGACTGTGGCTAAACATATCTTCAGATTAGAGTTTTTTAATTATCACATTGAGAAGTACCCAAGATACATAAAATTGTGGCCTAATTCAGGTGTTTATGTTTGTTTTAGGATGAATATGGATAAATAAATAATAAAGAATAGTTGATTTTTATATTATTTATCTCCTTGGTAATAGGACTTGGTCAGTTATTATTTTAATTGCCATAGGCCAAAATGGCTCCAAAATAGAACCTTGAAGTATTGATTGATTTATGGGAGAACGTGGGGTCCAGTTTTTATGCATTAGAATTTTGATCTCTTTTTGGTGCTGAATATTTTATTGAGGTCATTTAAGATGAAATTTGAGCCTTGGTGTTTTTACTCGCACTTGTATTTCATATACCCTTAATTTGTCCTGTTCCAACTTAGTCCAGAGGATGAGTCCGTCTATATCCTGAGTGTTGATGAGAAGAACAAGTTGGGAGCCAAAATTATTAAGGCAGAGATGATGGGGAATATGGTAAGGCTCTTATATGTTGTTCTTTTGGAGAATAAGGATGAAATATTTAACTTCTTACAAGTAATTTTGGAAGTTCCTCGATAGTGTGGATATGGCATACTTTGAAAATATTGCTCTTTGTTAATTCTTTAAATGTTTGAATATTTCTGTAAATATTAGAATAGTGTCTTCTAAATAAATATCTCCTTTGTCAGATTTCTGAAATTTGTGATCCAAGAGAATTATATTCTTTACTTTTTATTATTTTTGTTGACTTTGTTCTGTGTTAATTTATGGAACATATGTTAAGGAATTAAAAATGTTTCTGTTTGACATTTTTAGGTATTTATTACTAAGAATGCTTCTTACTTTCTGAAAATAATTTACTTAATAACCTAAAAATGAGCTCTTAAGAAAAGATGGTTGATTCATTTATTCAACCATTTAAGGTGATGTTTGTGCTTGATACTGTATTAGATGTTATATTTGGATTAATCCATTCAATTCTTATAATAATGTTTAGGGCTAATTTACCTCAGATTGAATAGAAATAGGGATGACTGGGTAAGTGCTACTTTTATTTATTCATTCGTTTTATATATATATTTATTCAAGTTAATTTTATTGGTACATGTAAGTCATACAATATAATGACATTCATCATTATGAAATTTGCACCTTTACATAATCCATCTTAGTTTTTTTTTTTTGGTACCAGGATCAAACTCGGGACCTTGTGCTTACTAGGCAGGCAGTGGCACCAATGAGCTAAATCTTGGTTCTTATTTTTTCTCCATTTCCCTACCCTCCCTTCAATCCCTCCACCCCCACATCTACAAAGACTTTGTTTCCATTTTTTTCATTTTCTCATATTCCATTCCCTTCTTTCTTTTCTCTATTCCTCCCACTTCCCCTTCCCCTTTGCACCTTTTCTTCCCGTTTCACATTGTCTTTTATACCTTTTAGTCCTTATTTACACTTTAAGTTTCTCACATTGGAGAAACTATTTGGTATTTACACATGTGTATCCTATTTATTTCACGTAAAAGTATCCCCTCAATGTGTATCCAATTAGCTATAAATATCTAGTTTCTCATTCTTTATACCTGAGTAGTACTCCATTTTATGAAAAAAAAATTACATTTTCTTTATCTAGTCTCCCATTGATGGGCAGTTGGGCTGCTTCCTTTTACATGCCTGTTATACTGTCATTTTAAATTGCTCATGGTAATGAAAGCTAGATAGCTTTCCATGCCATGACACCATGCCTCCACTATGGTCATATTTATGTAGTCATCTCAAACTGAGTGATCTTTCATTAATCTTATGTTTTTACAGACTGTCAATCTAGTACTCTTTAGAAGAATAAAAGGTAGCCAATAAAATATTTCTATTTTTATTAGTTTGTATATCCATTAGATTATTAGCAGGCATGTTTTGCACATGTTGCTTTATTTGATTCGGGTTCTTGGTAACACTTCAGTTTAGCTCAGAAATTGTGGAGAGAGATAAACCAGGGCAAAACCACCAGTAGCAAGAAAAGCAAGGTTGAGAGGTAAAACGGCAATAATAGCAATAGCTAGAAAATAAAGCTTGAGTTTTGAAAGCATAGAAGAATTAGTTAAAATAGTAAAAGAGAGGTCACCTAGCAAGAAGCTCTTAGATTAAAAACTGTGTTCATGGAGCCATTACAGTGGAACATGCTATACCATATAAATTTATTTTATTACTTTGTGATTTATTGCTTTTTAAATTTTCCCTCAGATTTTTTGAGATGAGGTTTCACAATGTAGCCCACACTGACCTTGAATTCAGTATGTAGTGCCTAGGCTGCCCTCAAATTCATGACGTTTCTCCTGCCTCAACTTTCCAAGTGTTGGGATTATAAGGCATATGCCTCTACTCCCAGTTTGTTTATTGCTTTATATGTCATTTGTTTTGTATAAATTCCTATAGATTTTCTTGAGTAGAAATAAAATTTACTCACAATTTTTTAAAAATTACTTATCAACAATGAAGAAAATAATATGTTAAATCTTGTGATGGCCTCCTTTTCAGAAATAATGGAAAATTTAAGTATTGGATGTGTATAATATATAAGAATTATAAAAATATTTTTGAGGTTATGTTTCCTTCATCTCCTTGTCTTCCTCAAAATACACGATCTTGAAATGATTTACCTTCAGAAGCTGCAGATATTTGAGGTGTTTGTAACTTAGATTAAGTTCATTAAAACATAATATATACTGAGCTCTGCATTGGTAGTTGAAGTTAGTTGATGGCCATATGGTGTTTTTGTTATACTATTTTCTTTTTATTGTATGAATTTGTAATATTCTGTAATGGAGAATTAAATAGCATGTCACACTTTTCTTTTTGAAGGAACTGGCTGTAAAACTTAAAGCTCAACTTGAAAAAGCTAATGAATTAAAAGAAACTGTAACACAAATATCAAAAACAACAGGAGCAGAAAAGGTACGTAATAAATGTTTATTGCAAGCATGTAATTACCTTGTGTAATTACTTTGCAGTGGCAATATTTTAATATGAGTTATGTCTGTTTGTGTTCTGTTAGTGAACAAAATACATAAAATCATTTGCCTGCATGTAACTTTCATTTGAGTAGGGATGGAAAACGATAAAAGGAGAAAATAATAACTAAATAAATGATACAGTATATTAGAAAGTTATATATTCTGTGGGAGGGTAGTGGAGATCTTGAGTGTTTTGGGGTGCACAGCTCTCACTGAAAAAAGTGACCTTGCTACAAAGACTTGAAGTAAGTGAAGGAGTATCTTGAGTGGAGAGCAAATTTTTAAATTCTAAAAAGAATTTAAAGGCTCAAAGATAGGGTTTTGTCTGATGTACAGAGTGAAGAACATGACCAATGCTGCTGACATAAAATGAATGAGAGAAAGGGAAGCCTTAAGTTTAGAGACTACCAGGATCCAGAACATGTTAAACTTTGGAAATTATCAAAAGAAGAAAAAAGGCAGAAGCTGGAGTCTTGGCAGGCTTTTAAGATAATGCAGATAAGAAATGATGGTGACTTTGACCAAGATAGTAGATAATGAGATGGTTAGGAAATGTTACGTTTTGTACATGTATATTTTCTATATATATATTTTGAAGCGGGAACTGACCTGATTTTTATGATGTGTTAGATGAGGGTGGCAGATGGGTAATGACATAGGGAGGGGTGGTAGAGAGGACTTCAAGGTCTTTAGCTTCAGTAGCTAAAAGTATAGCATGGCCATATAGATTTGTGAAAGAAAGGAAGTGTGATTTTGAGGTCAAAATAGAAGTCTGTTCTGGATGTATTGAATTTGAGTGGTTTTTAGATGAGGAACAAGTGGAGAACCTGGGCTGGAGATAGAAATTTGGAAATTATTAGCATATGGATGATATTTACATAAATGTTAGTGTATAAAAATCATCATGAGCATAAGTGTAGATAGAAGTTGAAGGACTAAGTTGGATGCAATACAGTGTTGAGAGCTTAGATAAATTAAAAAAATTTGTGTCGTTATCACAGTTTTGTAGATCAGGAGACTGAAGCTGGCACAGAGTTAAGTGCCTTGTCCAGTCATAAAGCTAGTAAATAGAGAACAAAGATTCAAACTCATGAAATACTTACGTTTCCATTTTGCCTTTTTGTTGCAAAAAAAAAATAAAAGTCAACATGCATTTTTAAGAATCAGATTTGAGTTAAAATCAGATAACTGAATATAGAGGACTCATTAAAAATTAATTTACATAATTTACTGTCAGTATGAAGTTGCATTCCATAGAGTTTTCTTCAGGCTGTGATCATTAATGTCTTAGATAATAATATAATGTATATGAAATTAGCCTTTTAAAATAAGTTGTGAGAACTAATATTTTTAAAAAGTGAATAATTTAAAATTTCTTGTACAGATGAAATTGAGAAATTACAAGCAGGTTAAAAAGTAAGGGAGTAGCCAGGTGTCATGGTACACACCTGTAATTACACACCTGTAATTCCTAAATTGTGATTGAAGCAGGAGAATCACAACTTCAAGCCCAGTCTGGGCAATTTAGTGACTTGGTGAGAACTTCCCTCTGCAATAATGAAAGGCTGGGGATGTGACTTAGTGCATATATAGCTCAGGCCCTGGGTTCGATTCCCACTTATTCACTTAAAATAATGGCAAGTGAAGGAAGATGTTTAAAAGTAGTTATATTGTTCAGTCTGTCTTCCACACTTTTTGCCCAGTTATTGTTTGCAGCAGTGCTTGATCCTTGAGCTCATAATAATTTTGTATTTTGAAACTTTCTTTGGTTTCTTAAGGCTAACTATATTAAATATCAGATCTTCCTACCAGATAGCACTCCAGAGTATAGCTCTATTTTCCTCGAACTAAACCCCCAGTTCCTTTTTTTTTTTTCCATTTCATTTCACTTTGCTTTCCTTTACGTTTTTTATTTTTTGTGGTACTGGGGGTTGAACTCAGGAGCTAAATCCCCAGCCATGCTTTCCTTTACTTTTTTCTTTTCCTGTTCTTTAAATATAAATATAATTAATCTCAATGAAGTACTGGTTTGTTAATGTCATTTATTAAGCATTTGTTGAGTGAATACCTGTTGTTGTTTGACACTATGGTGGCCCTTACAGACGAAGTGGTATACAGCTTGGTCTTTATTCTAGGTGAGAAAAATGGTTAAGTTTAAATATCTGCTGGGTTAAATGGAAATTGAGAATGTCTATACCCTGAGATATATTTTGCTAGTAAATACAATTCTTTATTACTATAAAAGCAACAGTGCCCTTTGTGAGAGAAAAATATTTACATTCCCATAAATATTGTAAATAATAATAGGGAAAGTACATCACTGCTTAGCAAATTGATTTTATAAGTATGTAAGCTGTTTTGTTTTTCCTCTCTTCCTTAAAATAATTTATGATTTGAATTCTCCAGAGAGCAATTTTATGGCTAATGAATGAATGATTCATGAATATTTTGAGATTTGTTAATAAAAGGGTTCATATAAAATGTTTATGATAAAGCACTCAATGCTTTCAAAATATAAAGTCTTATAGCACAAACTGCAATTGTGGAGAATAATTTAAAAATCTGGGATATTTAGCGTTTGAAATGGGAAGATTTTTATAGATTCTTTCTAGTTATATGAAAAAAATTGTTTATGCTTTCTTTGGAGAGAAATTAGTAGATCACATGGGTGATGGAAACTTTTTTGCTTATTTTCGCTTCTATCTTTTGTTTTAATGCCAAGTAGATAGAAATGCACTCTGTCTTGGGTACCCAAAATGGAACAACTTCGGGTCTTTTGTAATAATAGATCTATGGGAAAGAAAGCAGACAAAGGGGAAAAGAGGAACTTCAAAGGGAAAAAAGTGAGTTTGCTTTGGGAGTATATTAATCTGTTTGAGGTACTATTTATCAAATGTTTATTGAATACCCCCTATTGCTTGGCATTGTGCCAATCCATATAGCTGTCAGGTAGAGTATAGCTTGGTCTTTGGACTGGAAAAGATGGCAAAGGCAAAAAATTATAAGTAGATTCATAGTTACTGAAAGGATTATGATGTAGCAATATAGATGTGCCTAAAATTACTTAGTAAAAATATTGTCTGTGGCTACATGCTTCCTTTCATAGTTGAGCAACAAGGACAGTGCTTATGGACTGTGATGCAGCATCTCAGATACACACACACATACATGTATATGAAACATATGTATGTTGAACGTTTTCCAGTTCTTCATGGACTAGTAGTTGTATAAAATACAACAGAAATTAATTACAGAAAAATGAAATAAAGACATTTTGTTTCAATTGAATTCATATAAAATTGCTCTCTATGATTGCTAAAAGTGTTTATAAACTGTTTTCTGTACTTTATCATGGATTAGTACAAATATTTCATGGTTGGTCATTCATGGACTTGTTTTGGTCTGTTTCCATATTTGGTATGGTATTGATTTCCTATCTGATATATGGTCCCTGTAGCTTTTTAAGTAAAGAATGGTGTGATTTTGCTTAACAGAGTTAGGTTTTTGGCAGTACCAATGCTAATTAAGTTTCAGCCAAAGATTAAAAACCAAGAAATAGTGAAATCGTTAGCATTTGAAGGGTAGCTATAAATAGAGGAGAGAGTGAAGGTGAGTATCTTTATATTGATAATTCACGTAGGGAGTAATTTCCCCACTGACATATAAACTTGAAGGCAAAGACTATCCTTTTTTGGCCACTAGCAGAAGATAGGCACTTAAGAAAATATTTGGTGAATGAACAAGTGAATGAATAGATACATGGAGGTAAAGGCATAAGAAGAGTTTCAAGATGGACAATATAGTAAACAGAATCAATAATTTAGTAATTATTTGTTAGATTTAGTAATTTGAAATTCCTTAGGGAGAACAGGTTTAACTGTCAAAAAGTAGCCAGATTACATTATTTTGCCTTATCTCTATTATCTGGTCAGGGAATGAATAGAGTATTTTTTTTTTTAAAGGCAGTGTCTTTCTATGTACTCAAGGCTAGTTTTGAACTCACTAGGCTGTCCTTGAACCCATAATGATCCTGCTGCCTCCTCTCAAGTGTGGGGATTATGGGTATGCACCACCATGCCCAAGGAGAGATTATTTTTTGGTACTGGGGATCAAACTCAGGTCCTTGGGCTTGCGAGGCAGGTGGTGGAACCACTGAACTAAATCCCAGGCTAAGGTTCTTTAAAATATAACATTTCATTAATTAATAGGAATAAATTCACATTCAAGAAGAAAAGTAGTGATTAGTGCCAGGGGTCGTGATAGGTGCCTGTAGTTGCAGCACTTTTGGGCGCAAGTTCGAGCCCAGCTTGGACAACCTAGCAAATCTGAGGCCCTCCCTATCTGAGAATAAATAATAAAAAGAGGGCTGGGAATGTAGCTCAGTATAAAGGCCTTGGGTTTAATCCCTAGTTCTGCAAGGAAAAAACAACAGCAACAACAAAACAAAGCAATGATAAATAATCTTCACCAGTCATTTAGTATTGTGTAAAAAAAAAAGTACATTCCTATACAATTAATACTAGGAATCTGTTTTTTTCTTCCATTTACACAGGGCAACTAAATCTATTAAATGGAATTGAAATTGATTTTTTATCTTTAGTTCTAATTTGAGAAAGTTGAAATGTGAATAATTTACTTTGTCTTATTTACAATTGATTTTTATTTCCTAATAATGTGTACTTACTTTTTTATGAGAATATTACCAGTAATATTTCATTTTCACCACAGAACAACATGTATTCATTGTTGTACAAGACATATATTTGGCTGAAATTTTGTACGATGGAAGGATTATGATTTTAAAGTATGGAGTATAGCTTCTTTTGGAGCCAGAGAAATTAAAAGCATTTGAAGACTTTTAAATGATAGTGTTGAATATCATTAGTTAAATTTACAAGTGCTTTTTTTGTCATTTAGTTGTTTTATTTTTTATACTCAAGTTTTAGGGCTGGAGATTTAGCTTGGTGACGCTGCACCTGCCTTGCAAGTGCGAGGTCCTAAGTACCAGAAAAAAACAAAATCCCCCCAAAAAACCAAAAAAGCATATCATCACGTTTTAGTACAATCTTTGAGAAACATCCATTAAACATGATATCTGTTGTATAAGTGGTGTCTACTGTTGTACAGTGCCTGGTAGATTGTTAGCACTTTGTCATCTTTTAATAGTGTCTGGGTGAAAACTTTTAAGATTTCTTTCTGTGAATTTTTTTTTTTTAATAAACTTTGGGTTTTATCTCCATCATTTTCCTGAAAAGATTATGGTCATTTTATTGTATAGTGGATACTGAAAATCCAGAAAATTTAAGATAATCCTTAACATTATGTAACAGCTAGAATCTTTCCTATACTTTTTGTGTAATTAAATATAAGTATTCAACATTCTTCACAATTACTTCAACAGTTATCTCTAAATCTTTTTGTAGAATGCAGACCAACAAGAAGTGATCCTTGTCAGAACAGATGAGTCTGGAAGAGTGTGGCCTGTGAACACACCAGAACCTCTGGAATCAAAAGCAGGAAGTAGGAAGAGGCACAGGGTATGTTTAACATGTTTTTGCTCATTAATTCAGTATTTCTTTTTCCTGTGGAGCTTTTTTGTGCTAGATTAAGAAAATAGTTTCAGGAATAACTTTCTTGTAGTATTGTAAATTATGTTAGACGGTAGTGAATTATGTTACTACCTTTATTCTTCATTATGTCCCTTTGCCTTTTGCATAAAATGGAATATAATTCAAACTTTTTTTTCAAGAAATTTTGAACATTGAGTTTTTTTATTCCCCTTTCCCTCCCTGACCCTCTCCCTCTATCTCTACATCACTTTTCCCCATTTTCATTATTATTGTTGTTATTATTTAGTTCACGTTTACAGCATATGATTACCTTCACTAAGGGTAATTGGTATATGTACATAACACATTTTAATCTCTTTTTATGTCAATACTAGGAATATATTTTTTTCTTCCATTTATGCAGAGGAACTACATCTGTATTAAATAGAATTGAAATTGATTTTTTATATTTGATTCTAATTTGAGAGGAAAATTGAAATGTGAATAATTTGCTTGGTCCTGTTTATAATTGATTTTTATTTATTGCCTAATATTCTTTATTTTCCCTCTTGGTCCCCTTCCTGTTTGCATAAGATCTATCTCCCTTTTTCTTTTTAATCTTTTATTTTTCTCTTTACTTTATTTGCACTTTGGATTACTCAAATGAGAAACCATATGGTATATAAGTTTGTGTGTCTGATTCATTTCACTTAACATTATATTTTCAAGTTGTATCAATTTTCCTACAAATATAGCTAAGGAGTATTCCATTATGTACAAATACCATGTTTTATCTGTTCATCTGCTTCCAAGATATAGCAGTATAAATGAAATAAATTTACATATATTAAAATATTTGGGGAAGTATTTGAACTTCTCCCTGTTTGCTGTTTATCTCTTTTGCTCTTACTTGTATGTAGGTACATATATATAAATATTGTATTTTGTGTTGTTCATATAAGAGAAACCATGCATTGTTTAAGCATGTGTGTCTGACTTTTTCTTGAAAAGAAAGTTTTGTGTTATTATCTGTTTCTTCTTTGTAAGAATCCTTTTGGTCTATGTCTTATACTCTGAGTAACTACTTTGAAGATAATGATACACAATGTACTGTTTTGTTAGGAAATTTTGTTTTATTTTTCATAAAATAAAAAAAGATTTAATCTGTTATGAATTGTGCTGCTATGAACATGGGTTTGGATGTATTGCTGTAATATGACATGTTTAATTCTTTTGGAAAGATACTTAAAAGGGGAATAGCTGGGTTTAATGGGACAGCATTTTTAGTTTTTTGAGAAATCTCCATACCAATTTCCCTAATGGTTGTACTAGTTTACATTCCCACCAATGTAACAATATTCCTTTTTCACCATAGTCAAATCAACATTTGTTATTATCTGATTTCTTGATGAGTGCCATTCTTTCTCAAGTAAGATGGAGTTTCAATGTTGAGTTTACATTTTTCTAATGGCCAGTAAAATCAAACATTCTTTCATGTATTGGCCATTTGTATTTCTTTTTCTGAGAAGCGTCTTTTTACTTGCCTATTTCTTGACTGGGTCTTCTATTTTGGAGGATCTAATTTTTTTGAGCTCTTTATATATTTTAGAGATCAGTCTTTTGTTCGAGTGTAGCTAGCACAATTTTTTTCCCTTTCTGTACGTTGTCTCTTCACTTTTTTGTTATTTCTTTTGCTATACAGAAGCTTTTTGATTTGATATGGTCCCATTTATTGATTCTTTTTTTTTTTTTTTTGAGACAGGGTCTCACTGTATAGTTGAGACTGACCTGGAATTCACTATGTAGCCCAGGCTGGTCTCGAACTCACAGCGATCCTTCTGCCTCAGCCTCCCGAGTGCTGCGATTACAGGTGTGCGTCACCACGCCTGGCTCCATTTGTTGATTCTTGCTGTTATTTCTTGTGTAATTGGAGTTTTGTTTAGAAAGTCTTTGGCTACACCTAAGAATTCAAAAGTTTTGTCTCCTTTATCTTCCAGTAGTTTGAGTTTCTGTTTTAATATTTAGATCTTTGATCCATTTTGATTTTAGTTTACTAGACAGTTAGAGGTATGAGTCCAGCTTCTATCTTCTGCATGCATAGAGGTAGCAAGTTTTCCTAGGCTATCTTGCCTCCTTGCCTCCTTGTATGTTTTTGACTCATTTGTCAAAGATCAAACAGCTGACTGTCTGAGGTTGTTTCTACATCCTGTGTTCTATTCCATCAATCCATCTGTCTAGTTTTGTGCCGATACCATGCTGGTTTTATCACTGCAGAAGCCTTGTAATATAACTTCAAGCCCAGGATTTTGATGCCTTCTACTTTGTTCTTGTTGCCCAGTATTGCTTTTGCTATTCTTGGTCTTTTCTGATTTCATATGAATTTTAGGATTATTTTCTCTAGTTCTGTGATGACTGCTGTAGGTATTTTGATTTGGATTGCATTAAATCAGTTTTGGAAGTTGGCCATGTTGACTATGTTGATTTGGCCTATCTAGGAATAGGGCTAACTTTCCATTTTTTAATGTCTTTTTCAATCTCCCTTTTCAGAGTACAGTGGCACCTTATTTCATGAACTTAATTTGTTCTATGATTTTGGAAAAGATAGCCACATTTGTGTTTGTCTGGGAAAGATGGCTGTGGTTGTGTTTATCACCTTTTGCAGTGTTTGCAAACAAACAAACAAACATTTTGCCAAGTGCTTCTGTTTGTGGACCAAATTGTTTGCAAACAAGTGTCAGGAACCAAGGTCCCACAACTGTACTGTAGTTTTCATTGTAGAAGTCTTTCATTTCCTTGATTAGCTTGATACCTAATTTTTTAATTTTTCTTGGTGTTATCATGAATGGTGTTGTTTTCCCTGTTTCTTTCTCAGTGAGTTCATTATTGGTATATAGGAACTCTTGACTTTTTTGTGTTGATTTTGTATCTTGTACATTGTTGAATTTGGTTTTAATTCTGGGAGTCTTTTGGTGGAGTTTTTTGGGTCTTCTATATAGAGTATCGTATTATGTGCAAATAGTGATAGTTTGACTTCTTTTTTCTGTACATGGCCATTTTATTTCTTTCTCTTGCCTGATTGCTCTGGTGAATAACTTGAGTACTATTTTTTTTCCCCTATCTTATTGAGTTTATTGGTACTTTTTAAGTATTTGAGTACTGTGTTGAATAGGAGTGGTGATATGGAGTGTCCTCGTCTTAGTCCTGATTTTATTTATTTATTTTTGTTGGTTTCTGAATAATCTTTTATTAATATAATGACACTTCTTGAGATATGCTTTTACTGTACATGATTAGAAAGTCTTTTTATATACATTAAAAATTTTAATCCTCATAACTGTTCCATAAAATGAACAGAAAGAAAAGGACCTATCAGAACAGGTTTGCATGTGGGTTTGCATGTGGTGCACGGCTGTAGTTCCAGCACTTGGGAGGCTGAGGCCGGAGGACTGCCATGAGTTTGAGGTCAGCTGGGGATTAGTCCTGATTCTAGAGTGAAAGCTTTCAGCTTTCGTTTAATATGTTGGTAGTCGGTTTGTCCTAAATGGCTTTTATCAGATTCAGGTAAGGTCCTTCTATACCTATTTCCTTTATGATTTTCATCATGAATGGGTGTTTGATTTTGTCAGTAACACTTTCTGCAATTATTCATATGACCATGTGGGTTTTGTTTCTGTTTCTTTTTATGTGGTTGAGTGTGTTGAACTCTCCATGGGTTGTGGAATAAAACCTACTTGGTCATGCTGTGTTATCCTTTTGATGATTTGTTGGCATTCTATTTGCAGTATCTCACTGAGAATTTTTGCATCTTGATTCTTTAAGGAGATTGGCCTGTAGTTTTCCTTTGTAGTTGGGTCTGTGTCTGGTTTTGGGATCAAAGTGATGCTGGTTTCCAGAAGTAAATTTGAAAGCATTCCTTCCCCTTTCACTTTTAATGAAGAATGCTCGCTTCGGCAGCACGTATGTCAATTTCATTGAAGACTTTGAGGACTGTTCATGTTATAACCTCTTTAATGGTCATACAGAATTCATCATGAAATCCATCAGGTCCAGGGTTTTTTTTAGTAAGTAGGTTTTTTATTACTGCCTCAGTTTCATTGCTTATTATTGGAATCTTCAGAACTTTGATATATCTTGGTGTAGTTTTGGTAATTCATATGATTCCAAGAAACTGTCTATTTCTTCAAGATATTCCAATTTGTAGGAGTATAATTTTTCATAGTTACTATCTTCTGAATTTTGACAATGTCCCTTGTGATTTTGCCTTTTTTATTTGTGATTGCATTGTTTTTTATCTTTCTTTTAGTTAAGTTTGGCTAAGGGTTTATCTGTTTTGTTTATTCTTTCAAAGAAGCAGCTCTTTGATTTGTTGATTATTTGTATTGTTATTTAGTCTGTTTCATTAATTTTCATTCTGATCCTTATGATTTCCCTTATTAATGTTTAAGGCAATTTTAATTTTAGTGCACATTTCTTTGATGTTGTGTTTAGTTTCTTTTTATGTACTTAATAATATGTGTTTGAGACCAAGTTTTTGGGACCTGGCAGTGGGGTATCCAAACACAGTAATGTGTTAATTATGTTGGTTTTGTGAGCCTTTATAAACTTAATTTTTTTTTCCAATTTCCAGCTGCAGCAATTAATTTTTAGTAATACCTTGAGGCTCTTGAGATGGCAAAGCAATGTATTATATTTAATTTTTCTAAGTTAAGTTTTGTTTTAAAATTGAAGATCATAAAACATTAACTGAAGGGCGGGGGATTTAGCTCGGTGGTTCGGTGGCCTGCCTTGCAAGCGCAAGGACCCGAGTTCTATCCCCGGTACCAAACAAAAACAAAAACAAAACGTTAACTGAGTATATGAAAGAATTTTTCATCCTGAGTTTTTCTATCAAATACTTATATCTCCATTAGTTGCCTATGCTAGTAATGATTCTAATTAATTCTTTTAATAAATAGAAGTGATAGAAATGTAATTTCTTTTGGCAACTGATGACTTTTCTAATACGATGGGAATAGTTAGGGAGAAGAATAAAGAGGAATAGTAAAGGTTTTAATATATGAAATGACAGAATTGACTTGGGTTCTATAAACACATTAAATGGTACTGAGGGCTCTTTTGAGTTGCATATTGCTGAACCATCTAGGTATAGGAACCCAGAATATGGGCACATTGACTCATGGGTCTGATTTGTTCTTTGAGTATGATGAAAGGACAAGTGGGCCAGATATTAAAGATTGGAGCCAGGGAGTGATTGAAGTCATGACATATGAGATTTAAACTAGTGAAGAAAGTAGCACTGTTGGAGGAAATTGTGAGACTGTGGTTCCAAAGATCTGAAAGAAATGGAAGGCCAAAATTTATTTGGATGAGGAAATGTGAGAACAGCATTGAGGAAATTTGATGTAGGGGGAAATAAATAATACCTTTCTGTTCCATACCTGGATATAGAACCAGCTGAGAGGAAAATCTAGGATTAAATGAGATGGGGGTCAGAATATCAGCTTTTGTTTCTCATAAAGTTGTATGTAGAATAAGGTTTTAATATTTAGATATGGGTATCTTACCATTTCCAGTTACTGTCACAGAATACCATATAGATGGGATGGTCTAAACAATATAAATTTGTTTCTTAAAGTTCTGGAGACTGGGAAGTGCAGGGCAAGTGTATAGTAAGGTCATGCTTTTTGATTTGTTGGTAGTGGTTTTCTCATTTTTATCCTACATGTCAGAGAAGAAAGGTGGTGAAGGGGAGGGAGTGGAGGAACTGGCTCACTTATGCCTTTTTACAGTGGTGTTAATCTCATTGATGAAGGCTCTACCTTCATGACCTGATTGCCTCCACCAGAGACCCCCCTCCTAATACCATCACTTTGAGATTTCAGTATGTGGGTTTTGGGGGGCTAGGATTCAAACATTGTTCAAATTAAATCCATAGCAGCGGGTTTGCTAATACTTAAACCATTTTTGATGTACTTATCCTATCCCTGGAATTGTAACTACAAGAAAGAGAAGAATAGAGAAGAAAGAAGAAGAAAGAGAAATTTGGTCTTTTCAACAAAATTCAGATCAGTAATGTCATGCTTTCATCCCTAGAGAAGAGGAGAGTAAAGGGACTGAGGAAGTAGGGATTGTAATTCTACTGGAAATTCTTTGACCTGGAAGCAGGGAGCAACTGGAAGCAATGTTTGTATACATGATGGGAATTTTACATTTATTAGGAGATTTATAGGTAGTGCATTAAAATACTTCAGAGAATTATATTTTACCCAAATTAACAGTGTTCATTTGTTACAGGTTTCTACCCATGAAGAAAAGGAAAGAGTCAGATACTTTCATGATGATGATCGTCTTAGCCTAAATGATTTAGTCAAAAATGAAAAGATGGGAACAGCAGAAAGTCAAAACAAACTTTTTATGAGAATGGCGGCTAAGGTAAGGTATTCCTGGGATACGTTTAGATTTTGAAGAGCTAGCTCTTCAATCTATCAGTAATCTACTTTTCAGAGAGATCTTTTTCTCTCTAATCTTGGTTAAGTTTATTAAGTTAAATCTTTTGTAAGACGTATGAGGGACATATTAGAAAAATATGCATTTGGAATTTGGATTGTTTTTAAATATAGACTTTGGCTTATGTCTGTAATGTATTCTATGAAGATTTTAATTTTATATTTAATGTACCACTTAAAGTTTGAGGCAAGTTTTAATGATTGGCAATCTGGTGTTTGTGGAATTACTAGCCTGTCTTGTCTTAATGATTCTTTAATTTTTTTGTGATTATGCCACAAGGGAAATGGAACTATTTGGATTCATATAGTATGGGTTATAGAGAAGACATTTTGAAATTCTCTTCAAACAATTTATATGAAAAAATATGTATAATTTTATCACATAATTTCAGGAATAAAGTGAATTTTTTGTTTCAAGTGGTATTCTTTAGTGGTCTCTTCCATTATAATTCCCTCTAAACACTATTTTTTTTTCTATAAAAGAGATTTTGCTTAAACTTAGCCCTATGATAGGGTTTGGTAAACTAATCCCAGGGGGAAAATTCATTTCACTGCCTGTGTTGGAAATAAAGGTTTTTTGAAAGAACAATAGATAAGTTAATTTACATATTGCCTGAGGCTCCTTTTACTTTGTTATGACTGAGTTGAACAGTTGTAACAGACTGTAGCGCACAGAGACTGTGTAGCTGTAAATATTTACTACCTGAACCTTTTCAGTTAAAAAAAAAAAAAAGAAAGAATAAAACAAACCATGTGTTGTAATACCAATAGTTATATTTTGGTAGTGAGAGTTTGAACTAGGTATCTGAGAGACAGGAGTGGGAGGGAGACTATTCACTGTTTTTCTTTCCAAACTTACAATCTTTTAAAAAATGTAAATATACTACCTGATCAAAAGTTAAAATAAAGGTAACTTCATATCTATGTGTGCCAGAGGTATGAGAGGGTGGTGAGTAATGTAACTTGTATTTAAATAGAAATGGTCATTGTAAATACCACCTAGAATTATATGGGATCTTAAATTTAGTTTATTAGCATATTCTTACCTCCATTTAGTGTGGAGAAATTGTTAGAAATGTCCTGGTCTGGAAGTTCAGTGTATAAAAGGGATCATATTTTTATGAGTTTTCTTCTTAGAAATGATACCACTTTATATGGAAGATTGAATTACAGTTTTAGCAGTTCCAGGGTACTCTATTCAAGTTTATACCCAAAGACATCCATGTTGAAAATTGTGTTAGTCAATTAATAGTTGTTACTGAACACCTGTTTATGGTAGTCACTGTTGGAGGCACTAGGTACCCAGAAGCAGTCAAGTCAGTTTGTGCCTGAAAGGGCTTATATTTATACCCCATGAGACAGAGTATGAACATAATTTGAAATATTTGATAAATAATATTTGACAAATAGAAAATATTTGTATATAAAATAAGGCAAACTAGAAGTTAATGGTGAGTGCTGTTTTCAGTAGAGTGTTAGGAGAAAGGCTTCTCTGGAGTGAGTGGATGCTTCCACACATTCTAAACAAAATGAGGGAGGAGGGAATACTATTCCAAATAGAAGAAACAGCAGATTCAGAGAACCTGAAGCAGACAAACCTGAAGAACATCAACAGATAATAAAAAAAGGGAAAGGTCCTGGGATTTAGCTCAGTGTCGCTGCACCTACCTTGCAAGCTCAAGCCCCTGAGTTCGATCCCCCCGGTACTGGGGGAAAAAAAAAGGGGAAAGAAGGGAAAAAGAAGTAGTAGAAGATGAATTGGGAATGGGAATGGGAATGGGAAACATTACATATAGGGTCTTACATGTCCTGTGGTGAGGACTTTTGCTTTTGTTTTGAATGAGAAGCTATTTGAAGGTTTTAAACAGGGCTATGTCATGATCTGTTTATATTTATATATATAAATCTGTATATATCCATAGATATATACACACACACACACATACACACACATACATGTATTATGTAGTTCTCTTTGATTATATTTAATTATACTTTTTTCAGTACAGGGATTGAACTTGGGACCTGTGCTTGCGAGGCAGGTGGTGGCATCGCTGAGCTAAATCCTGGATCTGTTTTATTATATTTTAAGAGGACTTTTGTAGGTGTTCTTTTGATATGATAATGTACAGAGGCAAGTGTGGAAGCAAAGAGCACTTAGGGTATTTCACAAATTATAGCCCTAGATTAGATTAGCAAGACTGGTAAGAGGTGTTAGGATTTTTGGTATATTGAAATGAGAAAAGTAAAAGACAAATTCTGTGCGGTATGGATGGGAGTGGGAGATCAAAAGAACTATTGTGGATATGTAAAGTGTGAAATGCCTATTAGATATGTGATGTGGAGTGGCTTTCTTAGGAGCTCTGAGGGTTGATTTTGGTTCTTCTGTGTAGATTTGGTTGCTGTGAGCATTTAAATAGTGTTTAAAGTCATGAGACTTAAGACATTGGTAATGATGTTTCTGAAGGCTGAGCCTAGAGTACTGGAAGAGAATAGAAAGGATTTAGCAAATGACACTGAGAAAGTGCAGTCATCAAGGCAGGAAGAAAGCTAAGGGTGTGTGTGGTGTTTCAGAAGCCAGAGAAGCTAGGAAGGAGGTGAGGTTATGAATGACTGTCACCTGCTGCTGAAAAGTTGAGTAAGATCTTTGAAGATGAGGAAATTAATCACTGGGTTTCACAATGTGAAGATTTCTTTTGACTTGGACTTTGGTAAGTGTGTGGTTTTTTTGTTTGTTTGTTTTTTGTTTTATTTTTTGGTCCAGTTGAGGAAAAGCCTATTAGATTAAAGAGTGAATGTGAAAGGAGTTGGTCTTAGAAAGGAGTTGATTACTGACTCGGTTATAACAAGAGGAAAGGCAATGTATTAGTATAAAAATGCCAATAAGTTCATAAATTTGGTAGTGGAACAAGTTTTCTTTTTATTGCTTCAAATAGTTTAGTGAAAAGACTAACGTTAGTTGAGTAATGATGGAAAAGATGTATTGGAGGTTGAGAAAATGTGAAACACTTTTTGGCAAAATTCTTAAGTGAAGTACAGTAGGTTTGCAAGGCAGTGCCGACGGTCTGTCTGGAGTTTATGGTCATATATTTTTCTTTTATCATATTTAGGTAGAGATTTTATTTCTACACAGTTACTAAGCCCTTTTTGTATCTTTTACATTTCACCACCATTGATTGTTACTTTATGGTATAAATTTTTTTCTTTTTTTTAATGTATACATTATGGTACCTTTTACTATTTGTATTGCCTAGAATTGATTGATTGATTTAACAGTACTGGGGATTGAATTTAGGACCTTTGTTCTGAGTACATCCTTAACCTTTGTCTTTTTAAATTTTAGACAGGGTCTTATACATCTGCTAAATTGTCCAGGCTGGGCTCAAACTTGTGATCCTCCTTCCTCAGCCTCCCGGTGTGCTAGTATTACAAGTGTATGCCACTATGTTTTTGTATTAACTTATTTGCTACTGGTTGCATTTCATTTTATTGGTTTCCCTTAACATTTTTTTTTCTCATTGAATTTATTGGTATATTTTAGGTATACAGTCCCCTTAACATTTTAAGTTTGATTTTTAAAATTGAAATTCACTAAGCTAGAATGTTATTGATGTGAAAATGAAGAATATTGAGAAAAACTTACCAATGAAAATATCATTCTTAGTCTGCATTACCTCCAACAGGTATGATTTATCAAGTAATATCCCAGTTTTATAAGATAACATATTTTAGATGAAACCATCTTATTATGTTTATAAGAAGGCTTTCTAGGATAGCTAGCAGGGATATAGTAGATGTTTCTTTTCCACCTTTTATTCATTTCTTATATTTTTATATGATTTATATATTTTCTAATAATTTTCAGCAGAAATCATTACTGAAAGCATTAAACAAACTTTGGACTGCACAAATAATTGTACAACTGATACATATTCAGTCCAGATTATTCACTAAAGTGTTGATCAATTTATATATAGTTGATAATGTTGGATTATCATTTTTGACAGGTATGTTGTTTTTATAATCAAATTGTTTTCTTTGTATTATTTAATGGGATGTTAGTTTGGTTGTAGCTTCCTAAGAAATACAGAAAATCACAACCATTTTCTCTTCCCATAATTGTGTTAAATTTTTCATATCTTTTTTGAAGAGGTAAGCTTGATTTGTATATGATAGCAGAAAGAAGAAGATTGGTTTGAATCAAATTGAGCAGTTTCTCTTAACAAAGGATTTAGGTGTTGTTTTATAGATGCAAAGCAGTGCTAGTCATTACTTTTTAATTTTTTTATGTTTGCTCAATTTTTTTTAATTGAGTTTATTGGTAAATTTAAGGTATACAGTACAATTATGTTCATTATTGGGATCTTGTACCTTTACATGACAGGTCTTGGTTCTCATTTTTTTCCCCTTGTCCCAGCCCTCCCTTCACCCCCTCCTCCCCTCCCCATTTACAAACACTTTATTTCCATTTTTTCATTTTCTCATATTTTTTTCTTTTCCCTTATTACCTTTCCCCTACCCTTCCCATTTTCCCTATACCTTTAGCCCTTTTCTTCCTATTTCACATGGTCAATTATATCATTAGGATCTTATGTACTATTATAGTTTTTCACACCAGAGAAACTATTTGGTATTTACACATGTGTGACTTATTTATTTCACTTAGGAGTATATCCTCAGTATGTTATCAATTTTCCTATGAATGAATCTAATTTCTCATTCTTTATGCTGAGTAGTATTCCATTTTATAGAAAAACCACAACTTCTTTATCCAGTTTCCAACTGATGGGCAAATGGGCTGTTTCAAAGTTTTAGCTGTTACATACTGCGCTGCTATAAACATTGGTGTGCATCTATCACTGTGGTATGATTCTTTTAATTCTTTTGGAAAGATACCCAGCACAGGGATGGCTGGGTCAAATGGAA